GGCCATTGCCGCCTGAGGTACCTGGGAGCGGAGGACCTCTCCTCCCTCCCTCGTCAGCTCTCTCTCTCTCTCTCTCTCTCTCTCCTCCTCCTCCTCCTCCTCCTCCTTCTTCTTCTTTTTCTTCTTCTTCTTCTTCTTCTTCTTCAGACTAGAGACTTATACTAGTTGGACAGAGATTAGAGTTGGACTTCGGTGATATGAGACTGGTACTTACCTGATTGGAGACTTGGAGATTGTTGAGGTTGATACTCGGCTGCATCACAGTTGGACACCGGTTACAGCTGGACTCTGTATCTCCGACATTGGTGACATGTGGGCCTCGACATTTTGATCCTGTTGTATGACATTTTGGACTACCATATCGGAGACCTATCAGACTCTATCTATCGGTGTTGTCTACCTCCCCACCTCCTTCGTCTCTCCTCCCACCTTTCATCTGTGAATGCGTGTACGGGATATGGGCATCGTCTATGAATGGCCCAGACCCCACCATCTCACGATTGTATGTGTGTGGAGTGATGCTATGTGAGTCAGTCTATGTGAGTCAGTCCGTTTATCAGACTTCCGCTGCATATATGCTCATCCTAGATTGGTTGATCTTTGGTTCTGCCCATACTCATTGAAGTATGCAACATACACTAAATAAGAACACGCCAAGAGTTCATAATTGACAATGTTGCAGTAGTCCCATCATCATCAACGAAGAACCAGAGTTGATATCCTATATGGCGCTCGGCGCCCAGACTACATGTGGCAGATCCTATCTAGCCTATACTACGAAGCCGAATGATGACATCAACAACATTCCCAAAGTACGAGCATATGGTGACCAATGTCGCACGCTTCCAGCACCAGGTATGTCTCGCGCTACACTCACAACCTCGTTCCCCAACTCACAGATGCCCCTACCACCCAAGGACCACCTTGCGCTTCACCCAGCATACAGCAGCGCAGCTCGGCTATGGCTGCGTGCTCCTTCCCTGCTCGCCCGTGAGAGCGTAGGCGCCAGCCAGCAAATAGCGCAACATGCAGCCAGCACCCGAATCCCGAATGAGGAGGCAGGCCCTTCTCTATATCGAAGTGGCCTGCCTGCGTCCAGTCCAGGAAGCTTCCAGTAGGCCCCGGTAGCCGGAGGCCCAGTCACGAGGAGAGCAGGCCTTGGGCTTGAAGTGGTTGCATGTGCCCAACTACTTTCGGCCTGTGTTTGGCCCGGTACCCGTATCCAGCCTAGGGCCTGCTTCACGTACATTCACACAGGTGGCCCGGGGTTGGGTTCACTCAACGAACTAGTGCTGCGCAACTGCCTGAATTTCCTTGAGTTGCGTGGTGGCCAGAAAAGGGCCCTGAGGGCCTCGTCGAGCCTGCCTTCACTTAGGGCGGCCGACGGGCTGCAAAAATGGGGGCCTTATGGGGCTCTTAGAGGCAGTGGCCTCGCATTCCCTCCTCCTTAGCTTCAACAGTCCTCTGAGAAGCTCAATCTTCGATCATAGGGCGCTTTCCCTTCCGCAGAGATCTCTCATATTGAGTTACAACTTGAGGAGCGGTCTGCATGAGCTCTTTCCTGGTGAACCAGCAGTCCTCCTTTGGATCAGTGTGATGTCGGAAACCGAACGCGGTACTGCAGCTTCGGTTTTGGAGGACGTCCTGTGCCTGCTGGTCTTGATACCGGCAGCTCTTTGTGATCCACAATATCATCAATGTCCACCTCTCCGTCTATGGTTGGGGGCAGCATTGAGCGACAACTTGGAGGCGTGGAAGACAGGGTAAGCACGGAGATGGCCAGGAATCCGGAGATGCCTGCTGGTCTTGAGATGGAAACTGGTCAGTCTCTTTGAAAGGTGCCAGCTTGGAGGCGTGGAAGACAGGGTAAGTACGGAGATGACCAGGAATCCGGATAACATATGATGGACCATCCGGATCTGTCCCGACGATGTCCAAGACTTCCCAAGGTCCAAAGTACTGAGGCATGAGTTTGCGGGATATCCCGTACTCCTGTCCCAGTTATCAAGACTTAACCCTGACTCTATCCCCGACTTGAAATGTAGAAGGCGGGCGGTGTTTGTTTTCGAACTCTATCATCGCGGCCTGTGCCTTCTGCATTTGTTCTACCGCCTGCTGCATCTTTTGTTCATAGCGTTAAGCAAACTCTAATGTACCGGGTGCAGCAGTTGACTGGTTCTCAGGAAGAAGAAAATCCAATGGTAGTCTAGGCTTGAAAGTCAGTAGCAAATTGTTCGGGCTCACCCCGGTAGCGCTGTGTACAGCATTGTTGTACAAACTGGCGATGAGAGCAAGCTTCTCATCCCAGTCCACCTGGTTGGGCTTGATGTAGTGCCTCAACAGGTGTTGTACAGCGTGGTTCAGTTGCTCAGCCTGTCCATTGGCCTCTGGGTGATTCCCAAAAGTCATTTGCAACTGAGTTCCCTGCTCTGCAGCAGCGGCCTTCCATAACTCGCTGGTAAACCGAACATCCCGGTCACTGACAATAGACTTCGGTAATACAAAGTCTCTAACCCAGTTTTCTTTGAACATCCGGATCACATACTCCGTCTTTGCTGTTTCTGGCATGTCTACTAACCTAGCATACTTACTAAATCTATCCACGATGACAAAGATGTGACGCATCCCACTCTTGCTGGTGATTAGAGTATCCATGAAATCCATGGACAGACTCTCACCAGGCCGTTCCAGAATTGGAAGGGGCTTCAGAAGCCCAAGAGGAGCCTGAGTATGTGGCTTGTCCCGTTGACAAACTTGACAAGTCTCCACGTACAACTGTGCATCTCGGATCATCGTGGGCCACCAGAACCGTTGCAACAAGTTGGCTGCGGTCTTCTTATACCGAAAATGGCCGGTGGCATCATGACACTCRCCTAAAAACAAACTACGCAAAGACTCGCTATTTGGAACACACAAGCGTTTATTCGCTGCCTTCTCTAGGAACAGCAAGCCATTGACCAACTCAAACTCGGCGGAAGTCTTCTTATCCTTCGCCTCAAGTCTGCATATGATCTCAGACATAAACTGGTCCTTGCGATAGGCTTCCACCAAAGACTGAGTTACATTGTCCGTCAGATCAAACTCAGTAATCAGCGCACCTGAGAAGTCCGGTCTGCGTGACAAGGCATCAGCAACCTTGTTGTACTCCCCTTTGAGATACTGAGGGTCAAAGTCATATTGCTCAATGACTTCGATCCAATGCTTGAGAGCGTCAGAGAGTACCGGTTGGGTTCTCATCCATCTCAGGGTCTGATGATCAGTCCTGAGGATGCAGAACCTCCCAAGGAGATAGTGTCTCCAATGGGTGAGAGCCTTAAACACCGCATAGAGTTCCTTCTCATAAGTAGACTTAGCCAACGTCTGAGACGACATTTTCTTGGACATGTACTCTACTGGCCTCAACTTTGGCCCCTCCTGTTGCGCGAGCACGGCGCCAATGCCATATTGGCTGGCATCCGTAGTGACTATGAACGGCTTGTCAGGATCAGGAAGTTTCAAGACCTCGTAGTGCGTCAACGCATGCTTCAGATGTCTGAAAGCAGCCTCGCACTCATCTGTCCACTCCCATGGGGTGTCAAGGCGGGTCAGATCAGTCAAAGGAGCGGCCACTATACTATAGTTCTTAATGAAAGTCCTATAGAAGCTTGTCATTCCCAAGAAAGATCTCATCTCAGTCACAGACTGAGGACGTGGCCAATCACGAATGCTGGCCACCGCGTCATCGGGCTTCAACCCTTCCGCGGAGATCTCATGACCCAAGCACAAGACACAGTTGCGGCCAAAATCGAATTTCTCGCCGTTGATCTTGAACTTGTGCTGTCGCAGGAGGCTGAGGACTTTGTCCAAATGTTCAACGTGCTCCTCGACAGTCTTACTAAAAATAAGTATGTCATCGAGGTACACGACGACAAACTTATCTAAGTAGTCATGGAATATCCGATTCATAGCGTGCTGAAAGGTGCCAGGAGCATTGCAAAGGCCAAAAGGCATCACCACAAACTCGTACAGACCGTACCTGGTCTGAAAGGTGGTTTTGTGTTGATCCTCGGACCGGATTGCAATCTGATGGTACCCGGACTTCAGTTCTATCTTACTGAAGTACCGACACCCTTGCACTCTATCTAACAAATCGTCCTTGCGCGGTAGGGGTTCTCTGTTCTTTACAGTGATGGCATTGAGGCCCCTATAGTCAATGCACATCCTAAGAGTACCCTCCTTCTTCTTAGGCACGAATAGAACTGGAGACCCATAAGGAGAGACACTCGGTCGAATCCACCCCTTCTCTACGAGTTCCTTGAGTTGTCGGCGAAGCTCATCAAGCTCCCCTGGAGACATCCGATAGATCCTACCTTTCGGAATACTAGACCCTGGGATAATCTCTATTGCGTGGACGACCTCCCTCTCAACAACCCCTGTCGGCTCTTCAAATAGATCAGGGTATTTAGCAACTACTCCCTC